CCCCGGCACCTCACCACGCCCACCTAGGGGGCCCCGCCCCACTATTTGAGGAGCGCTGTTCTAACCTCAGAATGCTGACCAACCAATGTTCTATAATCAACAGATGGTTTCCTCATCTGAACAAACAGCAAACGTCACTTTGAATTTGACTCAAATGCAGATCAAATCTGGTCCAAATCTCTGCGATGTTCTCACGCGTCTCGAACGAACGTCGGAACCTGCGATCCTCTGATGACGAGCCTGACTCTCACCCAGGGTGTGTAAATAAACAAGCACTCGTCGTCTCAAGTCGTCTTGTCTGGCGGTGACTTTGGAATCCGCACGAACGGAAATGGAGAAATTCACACGTGGACAAAACTCTGCATAACCAGAAACCCCCTAAGGTTCAGTAGGAGAGCAAGTGTGTGTGTGTGTGTGTGTGTGTGTGTGTAAGTGTGTGTGAGTTTGTTGGGTTTTTTTTCATTAAGGTGAAGTGACCCTTTAAATTCCGTCCTGCAGATGATTGACTGCAGGGCGACTGCAGGGATTCAAACAGTAAATATACTTTATAGCTGCGTCTGAAATGAGACTGTAAATCTCGCAGCTAAAGCCAAAGTTGCAAATCAAACGCACCGTACATGAAAGCGGCGTCTTTTAAACGACCAGAATGCGGCGCAGCGCCCCGACAGTTGTCCTCTTTAAAACGGACACTGACATGTTCTGTTTCAATAAACACCACTGTCAATTCTAATCATCCCGGTTGGATTTTCCAGGCATGGCTTGCAAAGCTATTGGATTACTTTTGTATTGAGGTTATTACGAGGCGGCGACCCCGGGGCCGGCTGCACGCGGCGACACTCGGGCTCTTATGACTTTTCCAACCCAGAACCGGCCAGAAACACATCTGTCAAGTGTTCCTTTCTGCAACCTTGAAATCTAATTCGGAGCTTTCTCATAGCAGGGATAATTCGATATTAGAGCCCTGTCAGGTCCCCATAACTCTCTGGGGCCCGAGGAAGAGGAGAGCACACGGCGATCCGGCAGAACCCCGGAATCTGTATGACGTTATTTGCAGGTAAACACTCCACGTGTTCCAACGGCATCAAACAGCTTGGCCGTCTTTTCTTTTCTTTTCTTTTTTCATTTTTTTTTTCTCTCACTCTGCTTAGCTGTTCACTGTTGTGTTGAGTCAATTGTACTGACACCCCCTCCCCCCCCCCCCCCCCCCCCCCCCCCCCCCCCCCCCTCTCCTCTCCCCCCCCCCCC